TTTCTTTTAGGTTCTTTCGTGCCTCGAATCAAAAGGATGTCTTCCCACCATCCAGTCTTTTCTTCCACTCCGTAGGCTTGGATGGGAGGATCAGAGGATTTGTCTTTTTGATCAAAAGTGATCGCTACTAGGAGCAAGGACGCTACTAGGGGCTCCTGGCCTTACTGCTGGGAGCAAGAAGCTACTAGGAGCAAAGGGCATCGCTACTAGGAGCAAAGAAGCTATTAGGTTGAAGGCCATCGCTCTTAGGTTGGAGGTCATTGCTACCAGGTTGGAGACAGTTCAGATCTTGAATCTTGACAAGATTGGTCAGCAAGATCGGTCAACAAGATGTCAACAAAGTTTTGGATGACCTGTTTTTGTTTTTGTTTGCTCTTTTTTGGCAGTACCGATTGGCACTCATGCCTTGAGCGGGAGGAACTCCCAATGACGAACACGGCTGTTCCACCTGAACAACAGCAGACACCAATATATAGACTTAAATATTGTCAAATGAACTCAACTGAGCAACGTCATAAACCTCTATGAAAGAATTTAGGTAGGACTTAAGATTATGAATCTGTGCGAAAGGAAAACTGCAGTTGGGGAAAAGCTTGGCGAAAGGTTTGGAGAAAGGCTCTGATTTTTTGATGAATGGATTTTGTTGCGAAAGGGTTGGCGAGGAGGTTTTCAGTACAAAGCATGTCATCCAAAGATTCATGATAACCAGGCGAAAGGTTGGCGAAAGGTTCGCGAAGATGTGGCGAAAGCAGTGGTTGCAGATTAGGAATGATTCCCCTTTGCTGATACATGCTGATACTTTTCTTAGATGTAAGTAGCAGAAACTCGGCGAAAGGGTTAGCTAAAGAGGTTGTCGGGTGAAGTGGGCCGGCGAAAGCAAAACATGCAGCCGCGAAAGCGTTGCGAAGGGATTGGCGAAAGGTTGTTATAATCTTAATAAAAGTTCCGGATGGTTTTTGACACCGCTCAACTGGCGGTTTTCGCATGTCCGTCACGTGTCTTTTGCATGGATTTCCTAATCATATTAACATTCTATCGCCACCCCCCTGAAAGTAGGTTGAAGACCTCGCATTCTCACTTGTTTATTGGCGCTCGGGTCGGTCGTGAGTGGCAGCGTTGACCTTCGGCTTCCAGGTGAAGGTCCAGATTGGCCCAAGGGACCTGACGACCACCATGGCGTGACTTGGCGATTTCTTCACGTCCGGACGGACCTTGGGACCGGACTGAACGCGCCAACGTGGCGAGAGGAAGAACTCGTGGCGAGAACGGCGAGAACTCGTCCAAAAACCTGGAAGAAAAGAGGAACTTCGTGCACACAGGTTAGTGGACGATGGAAGCTCTGGTCTGCGTCACTCTTCTGTCCCCCCTCTCTGAGGACTGAGACGGTGCTTGTTTTTGTTTGATTTTAACTGGTATGGGAATTGGAATCCCAACCGGGTGGTGGTTTAAGATATGATTGTTTTCAACCTTTACTTGGGATGATTGAACCATATTGAACCTGTTGACTGATATTTCTTCAAGTGACTTGGAACCACGTAACCAGCCAAGCATAGTTGGTGTGAGGCACTACACCTACTTCTTGAACTCAATTGCGGAGAAGTCCCTGTGCTTTGGCCCTGGCATTCTACAGGCGCCACCGAAACTCTGGCATGGCGACACCACAGGGGCGGCGAAAAGCACTGGGGGTCCAGGTTGAAGGTGAAACATGAACACTTCAAGGTGATCATTTGGGGTCATACCTAGGGTCTAGGGTCATACGAGTCATAGTAGCCTCTGAACTACAAGTACACAGAATAATATACGTATCATATATAATATATATATATATATTATATAATTGCCATATAATTGCCCGATTCTCGCCTTGAAGTCTTCGGACTTCACTGCCACCCGGCGGAGCTCGTGAACATCCATGAGAGCGGGACCTCGGCGTGCCTCGACCTTCGTCAGGAGCAGCAAGCCAATTCTGAGACTCGCTTCATGATCCAGGCACGCGCGACCGCGCGCGACCGCGCGGGATCACCGAGCATAGCGGCGTTTCTTTTGGTTCAGAGGATTTCAGAGCAGCATGAAAGCGCTGATGGGATCTGTAATACTATGCAATACTCACAAAGGACGCATAAGGACCATGTAAAGATCGGATGGTTTCTTTGAGGTTTCGTGATGGAAACATCTTGCAAAAGAAAGACACCATACGTCTGGGATTGGACGGGTCCTACCTCATTCGAATTGGAGGGTCTCTTCTCTCCTTCACTCTCTTGGAGGGTCTCTTCTCCCGACGGCGCCGCGACGTCTTGACTTCTCTTGACTTCCGTTGGTCGGCGAAGTGGAAGGTCGGTTCTGATCTTCATTGTTCTGGCTTCTGGTTTTTTATTCCACTGATGGAGGTCTCACTTGGTGACCAGAAAAACAGGAGGGTGCGTCAGAAAAGGCATGGCATGTCACAGCCCCGGTAATGGGAGAACGATCTCTCCAGAGGTGCCAGGGACAGTACGACATTTGAATACATGTTTTTGTTTGGCATTTATACATATTTATACTGTATAGTATACTTTATATATATATATACATATTTACACTGCAAATAGTACATTAAGTAATTACTGTCTAGAGTCTAAAGGTGGCAAACAGCTAGATGATTGAATCAGCTAGCAGACCACAAGTTGTTCAGAGTCAACAGTATACAACCTGTAATCTTTGCACTCATTCAGTGGGATTCTGGGATGAACATTTGTTGGGGAATCGGCGAGAACAGAAAGCCACGCAGGCGAGGAATCAGCTGGGCGAGAACCGCAAGAGCGGCCGGGATGAGTTCATGGTCACGGCAGCGTGGTCACGGAAGCAGCGGATTGGGTGGATGTGCAATGGCTGTTTGCTACGTGTGTATTACCCTTTGTGAGTGTTTCGCTGGAAACAACGACCTCCGATTAATTAATCAGCAAGAATGGAACCTCAGGAGCTCCGGACGAGCAGCATCTCCTCCTTCACCTGTGTGCAGGGAACTTCTTTCCTCATATTTAGTCCATGCACCCGGTCTGTCACCATTGTTTCATGTCTTAATCTCCTATGATCTCAAAGCTACTCATAGCCATCTCATAGCCTATAGCTCATTGCTCAACTTCCCAGCTTCTTGGTTGATCCCCTCATAGCCAACTAAAGTGTCTGAAGGGAATCACTTCGGTAGCGCGAGCTTCCAAGAATCAGACCAGCTTGACTGGCTTTGACTCCATGTTCTTTGAAGACCTTTTTCTTCACCGAAACCAACGACTTCGACCGATTCGCCGACCTTATCCCGACGCAGCTATCGGTGCCATGGTTGCGGGAAAGACCCAGGTGCAGCAAAAGGTGCTCAATGCCGAAGGCCTGCAGATCGATCGCCGAAGCATGAGAGCTTGGGGTGTTCTATGATGTTTTATGCACTTTCATGTGTGAAAAAAAAGCGTCAAACCACAGATACTACAACAACAAATGCCCTCCTCTCCTCGATGTTGGGTGTAGAAGATTCACGCTACCCATGCATGACTTAGGTGTTTGGCTTTCATGGATGCTGATCCACGACGCAACCATTGCAGATTGGGACCCCCTTCTGAAGAACAGAACCATGAAAGTCCATGTTACATGCGTGCACATATGCACACATGTGCATGTGTGTTCTTCTTTTTGTATGATGTGTTAATGTTTCTTTTTCCCCAAGTGTTTGTCAGTCACGTTCCTATGTTCCATATAGTTATATGTAAATATATATATATATAGTCATGTGTTTTATCTTGGTTTCATGAAGCGAAGAGACCTCCGCAAGGCAAGGAAGTGCTCCGGGACGTGGCTTTCGAGCTGAACGACCTCAACGACGGCAAGACCGAGGCGGCGGAGGAAAAAAACGGTCAAGAGGTCAAACAGGTGCTGAGTAGGTGCTAAGTAGAGGGAGTGATTGATCACATGAAAGGCCACGTTCGGAATCCTGTACGGATCCATGTGTTTCTTTTGGTTCCGCCCTTACTAGAGCGCCATTCGGACATCAAGGACATTGGAGAAACCTGGATGAATTGAATAGAGCTGGGGGGGGAGGTTCTCGGAGGGGTTCCTTGGAGGGGTTCGTCGGTCTCAGCTGGATGGCAGTGAGTGGGTCATAGAACCAGGTCTTTGGAAAAAAAGAGAACGGCCGTGGGGTGGTCCCTTTGTTGCCTTTTCTTTGGTAAAGGAGACAGGCGATTCCAGGGTGTGATTCCAGGGTGATCTTCATTGTTCGCTTCTGCTTGTTTGGTGTTTTTCATTCGCTGCTGGGTGACTTTGTGGATGGCTGGATCAATTGATGTCACCCATTAGCTCCGGTCGTCTAGTCCAATAACCCCATAGCCCGAAGTGCCAGCACAGCCCGAACCGCTGGGATGCGCTGGGGCTGCTAGGTCAAGTATATGGCTGATGAAGGAGAGTATCTTGGCGACACCTGATGCCCGAGATAAGATGATTGAAACTGCCTGTGGTTGCAGCAGTTTGAGTAGATGGGACGTGATCGCCGCAATCTTCAAGAGCTGAGATTGAAGACAGCCAGAGAGCTAGACTAGGTCGACTCTGAGATGGTGGATATACACATGAAGGGGGGAAGAGCCACATGAGGTAACTCGAGTATCACTCGCGTCGACTTGCAGTATTCATCAACTTCTTTTTCATCAACTCTAGCTTCACCCTGCTGCCTCAGCTGTTGGGACTGTCCCCAACTCCGAAAAAAGAACAAAAAAAAAACATAGAACAATACGCCACTCCATGAATCAAGAACACATGTCTCCTCCCCACTTTCTTCCCCAGTACTTTTCCCGCCCCAGGGGCCCCAATGTCCCCACACGTCCCACCCCATACTACCCACCTCCACCTCACAGCTTTTTCGGCCACCCTGGGCGCCCAGAGGGCGCCTTGGGCGTGCGCCCCCTTTCGGCTCGCTTCGACACCGCGCGGGCGCGGTTGACCACCGCGCCCACCTCAGGCTGGTGATTCACGTGAAGCTCATGGACGAGAACGGCAAGCCACGCCCCATTCGAGGATCACCCTTCCGGCCAACCCTGACCAAGCTGCTGGGCTGAGGAAGGTGTTGAGGTCAGTTGCATCCAATGGAGGAAGGTGTTGTTGAAATGTCTTGGTTGGCGCAGATTCGGGTAGATGTGTGTTTTCTTCTTGGAGCACCAAGAAGAAGCATTTGTTTTAAAACAAGGCGTTTGAATTTGAATTGGATGTGAAGATCAAAGCAATTGAAGTGGAAGAGAGAAGGCCTCCAAGTGGGTTCACAGGGACAGATTCACGATGAATTTGCTGCATGGTGTGCGCAGAAATATCGTTTACTGTACATTCCCGAGAGAGATGTTGTTGGGTGGCGCAGATCCTTGTGATCCTCAACATGGCCTTGTTTGGATCCTCATGTTCCAAGAAAGGTGAGTCAAGAATCCCAGAGGCAACGTCCAGTGCGTCACACCATGTCACAGCCAGCTCGAAGAGGATCCTTTTTCTGCTGTACGTTGACCGGGGAGGCAAGATTTACCCTTCGTAATTAACACAGACATGTCAGACATTGAAAATGGTCCCGCAAGAGGGTAGTGGTCTTGAGATGTCTTGAGAAGGTCTTATTTATTGTTCCGTGTCTATGTGCAGGCCACTAGTATCCTCATTTCTGGCGAATCAAACGTCCGCAACCCTCTCCCAGAGGCGGCACGTTTCGATTCCAATCGATGGATTGTACTACCGAGGATGGCCCGGAATCGCGCCAACGAGTACTCAGGCGGTTTCTTGTGGATCTTGTGGGGACCCAGTGACTGATATGGCTATTACCGGTCGCCAGCTGCAAGGGAACACCGTGATTTTGTGGCAGGTAGTGAGAATCAGAATGTGGAGATTGTGGTGAGAATGTGCATAGAACATATATCTTGTATGTTTTGTTGCACAAAGAAGCATCAAACAGATGAAACAAGATGCCATCCTATGGCAATGTATTCATTTTGGTGGGTTAAAGAAACTTACACTCCCGGCATATCTGGACACAAAAAACGTGTCAAATGTGACCAGTCCCTTTTGTCCGAACGTGAGCCATGTGTACCACCGCTTCCTTGGCAGGGCCGGTGGTGACTGCTTGGCTGGGCTCCACTTTGAAGAGTCTGGACGAGCCCCTTGGACGGAGCGATCGGACGCGACAAACCGGGCGGCTCCAACGGTGTCCGCAGGGCATTCACGGTGTCCGTTGTTGGGTTCCGACGCGTGGTTCATGGTCCAGTCGAGCCGTTTTTCCTTTTTTTTTTCAGTGATCCGACGTTCCCGAGAGTACGGGTAGCACAACAAGTGTTGTGTATTTTTTTTAGAGCACAGCAAGGCTTCCATGAAGCAAGATCTCTGATGCTTGCAGTGATGTTCAAGCATGGTTTGACCCGCCCAAACCATCTCGCAACTCTTTTCACCTGAGAAGTCAGGAAAAAAATGGAGCCCTGGATCATCATAGATCATCACTTGGATGGCCCCTTTGAAACGGACCATGAAATTCGAAAACCAAACATGTGAGTGTCCACTTCCATGAGTGTACCCCCCTTCCACGTCCAGCGGCTGCAGGTTCTACCAGACGACCAACACGGGGCATCAAACCAAGCTGAAGGAAGGGGATGTGTCTTGGCTGTGAGGGCATTGAGGTCTTTATGAGGCCTAGCCGCCTAGCCTTCATCTTTCCTGGGTCAAAGTGATTTGGGATGACTTTTGCATGACACCTAAACTCATCAGAGTCGCGTAGTGCTGAATTGAGAAGCTGGTAAAACATTACAGTAACATACAGTAACATATTTCAAGATGCCACACACTAGTCTTGATATGTTTATCTCCTGGTGGACATGCTTGTTTAATTGCTTATACTTACATTCATCATCGTGTTTGGCTGTCGTCATCCTCATGCTTTGGCCACTCGCGTCGGTCGTCCCAGTCTCTCCCGGAGTCCCCGACCGCGGTTCGGCGTCGATGGTGGCGAGAACGCAGGCCTCGGGTCGAAGCCCAGACATACCCAGACCCAACACTCCATGGGACTGGCATATTTTTGTATACATTGAGCCTGGGTGGTTGAAGTCAGGACCAATGTAAGCATTTTCTCCTACGTATTTGCATGTATTTGGACATGTATTTACATTACATGGAGTGTTTGGGATAGGTTCCGGGTCGAGTCAGGTGAGTGACGTATTCTTCTCGCCGAGTCTTTGTGGGATCACCAGGTAGACGTGGACTCAAACCATGCACTCAAACCATGCACTCGTCATCCAATGGGATCGTCCACGAGGGTTTTGAGGGTTCCGAGGGGCGAACCCTGATCGATTCCCAGGACCAGGAGGCCCCCAGGTCGGTCTTTCCCTCTCGCACCCAGTCGTACCCGTGGTTTTTCTCGTCACCCAGTCGTACCCGTAGCTCGATCCAAGGTCATGAACTTGATCAAAGTCATGAACCACATCAAGGAGCTGCGATGTGGATCATCACCAGCATCGCCATGTGTGCGAAAATGTGTGTACGGCCTCGGCATACTGTGGCATAGCCACAAAACGCGCAGGACATGTACGACCAGGAGGACACACTGATCCTGAGACAGGCCTGTCGGGGCTGCATGCTGCTTTGCTATGCAAGTTGATATGCAAGTTGCTATCGCTTGGTAGAAGAGTCAGGGCTCAACAAGCCGATGTTCTGTTAGACCTGACCTGGGTTTGTTCTTCATGTTTGTTCATGTAGCAGCTCATACTTGTCAATCTCCTTGGAGTGGCATGAAGCCAGCGAGCGAAGTGCCAACTTTGCTTCAATCCAGCTACACTCCCGAAAACTAACACCCTGACAATGGTCCCATGGAAGACTATCTTCCTCTACCAACCAGGGGTTGTCGAGTTCCATGGGATCGTCTTCCAGGGTGCAAGCATTGTTTTGGATCGGGAAAGACCGGGGCACTCGAAGACTGTCTAACCCAAAGTCTCCAGGTGAGACGATGTGTTCAGGACACACTCTCAAGATATACCCAGCTGTGCAAACAGTGGGTGGTACTGGCGGTGGGTGGAGCATGGTGGCTTTTGGTGGCACATGATTTTGCTCATGTAATCGAATTTGGATGTGGATTCACTTCCCATTTCCTCACCACCTGCCACCCATCCGACACTTCAAGTGTCCAAGCGCCAGCCCCCCCCTCTCAACCGTCGTCGCAGCGGTCGAGCGTTTGGCTTGCTTCGCGATGCTTCAGGATGAGGTTGTAGAGACCTTGGCCCAGTTGGAGCGCGAAGGTTTGCCCAGCGACAAGCAGCTCAAACAGCTCAAGAAGATCGGCTGCTTGACCGCCCAAGAAGATTCCATGGCTATACACATAATTAAATTGTGCATTAAATGATTGTTGTTTTGGACGTGCAAAATCCATATCCGTCAATCTCCTTTTTGTATATTAGACCAGAACAAAGCGGCTTTTGTTTGTAAGGATTGTTTTGCTGCTCCATTTTCGACGTGTCCTTTTTCAGCACATCACTGGAAATCACTAGAGAACTATGGGTCAATGGAGTCTTCACATCCAGGTGGAAGAAAAGGCCTCGCAGGGGGACCACCCTTCGAACGCCAACAGTTCGGATCCCAACGCTTCGAATGCTTCGACGTCCGTCTCTCCGTGAAAGCAGTCGATGCACGGCCCGCCGGGGCCAAAGGGGATCCCAAACACCCCGCAGGGTTTGGGGGTTTGACCTGGCGTCAGAAAACACTGCGGACTGTGGACTGTACAACGAGCTAAGAACATCTGGGTTTGTCCCATTACCTGTAACAGTCGGTTGATTATCATGAATGATCACCATTTTAAGAGAAAGGCCTTTACCAAGCGTCGTCATCCACGAAAGGGCCCTGGAGGATATGGAATGACGACGTATTGGCATCGACTCAGAGCACGGTGGAGGGTCCACACCACACAGTCCGCCATCAGCAAGGTGCTAACTTGGTGCAGCTGAAACAGGACATTGTGGCCAAGGAAAAGGAGATCCAGCCCATGGTTCAGAAGGACCCGCGCGGAACGCCAGCGATGAGTGTTCTGGGATCCTGCTTTTTGCTCCGAGTGATATTCATGGAAAAGAGTGTGACAAAAGTGAATGGAAATGACTAGCCAGCACCCAGATGATGTGGTTTGTGGGTAGCCGAACATGTTTTGCTTGGGGCTTAGTACTTCTAGGCAACCCATGGAACTGAATCTTTACCTGCATTGGGGATGGATCTGAATGCGGGTTCATTGCATCATACACTGAATCTGAGGGTACCAATCAAGTACTCCCAATGTTGGAATCTTAGACTCCAGCAGGCATTGCCTGGTTGGGATAGGAATCCCAGGGTTGAACGCAGCCGTGCCACTGATTGGTCAACGTGGCTTGAGGGCCCAGCTCAGCCCTCACTGACCCCCGGTACTTCGATCTTTGACTCAAGGAGAGCGAATTCTACAAGAAGGCCGGAGCTGGACGTGGGTGTGGGATCAGGTGATTCGTTGAGAAGTACGGCACGGTACAAGCATGTACAAGCGAACAAAAACGGGAACACGCTTTTTTTTCTATTGCGTTGGGGATTTGTAGTCCATTCTTTGTCCATTCCTTTCATTTCCTTAGTAGTGGCCATCTCGCTTTCACTGATCCACATTTCTCAAATTCCCCAAACGATTTAGTATGTTTACTCTATGTTTTAGTTATATATAGTATGGGATTTAGTGATTGCTATTCAGTTTCATGTGGGACAACTCATACTCTGAGAGTCTACTGTAGCCTTTGTTGATGCTCCACGACACGGGGAAACACGGCGAAAGTAGAGGTCCAACCATGTCGTGTGCTGGCCGTGCCATGTCAGGCCATTGGGGACTTTGAAAATGAGCTCAAGACCTACCAGGGTGGTCTGAAGAAAGAGGCCTACTACTTCTACAAGAGACCCTTGGACTATCTTGGACTTCTTATCTTCGGAATTGGAAGCTGTTTTGTGTGCCAGTGTTTTTGGATTGCAATGTTTTGTTGAACTGTTCCATGTTTGGTTTGGTGTATTTGCGTATATTTGGGTTGAATGGGGGATGATCACTTAGTTCAATACTTGACCGACGAGTAAAATGGACCAGAACAATACTTATATACCAGCAGCTGGAAAGGAGCAGGCAAAAGCAACCTGAAGCGGTTCTTCACAACAATGGGGGATCAAGGTAGAGTCACTTTCTTACTCTATCAATTTTGAGCTTGAAGTTGGACAGAGACACATCAAGTTTAATCAATGAGCTACGTGTTGGCACAACATGCTACAACCAACTCAATAGTATCACAACCTGTTCTCCTTCATGTTCTTTCCAAGATCCGGTGCCTCATATCCTGTGCCCGTGCCTCGCTTCGCTCCAAGGTGGCTTGGAGTTGGCTCAGAAGCGGCTCTCCGATGTCACCACCGATCTGGACAACTTCGACAAACGCATGGACGACCTGCTGCACATTGCCACCAACTTTAACTACCCCGAGGAGTTCAAGGGGCGGAAACCGTCAGATGCAGATCTCCCAAATAAAACGGGGCGGACACTGGGCACACAGCAGGGTGGTGCAGGTTGGGGGTGATCAGATTGATGAGGTGCAAGTTGCTCTTTTGCATTCTGCGCGAAACTTGAGGCCCCGAATCCTGTTATTTTTTGGTGCAACTCTAACACTCTAACCATGTCCTGTTTGGTTACACCGCGGGACACCGCAGTATTGTCACCTGCACAAGTAGTGAATTGACCGCGAATGTCTTTGTGCTTTGGTCAAGCTTTTGGTAATGACTGTGGTTTCACTGGTTGGAGTTGTCAAGACATTCGATTCTGAACCACCTCAGAATTGCTAGCAACCTGATGCTAAAACCATCTAGGCTACAATGTGAGAGCTGTAACTTGAGACTTCATTATCAGCAAAATTTGAATGTCGCCAAAGCTGATGTGTCAAGTGGCATTTTCCCCCAGTGACGTTTGACATGTTTTTCCCTTCAGTGCCCTCGTAGCAAGCTCAAGGGCTCATAGGATAGGACAATTGCCGAATAGCTTCATGATCACCGCGGCCAGCGGTGCTTCACGTGGTTTTACCACTTGTGGCCCACGCCGCACAAAGTCGGGTTTTGGCAGGGTGCCACGTGGCACCTGCTGCAAAAATAGACACCACCTATCAACCAACGAGTGATGGATGAATCGCTTGGTTGATTTGTTGCTTGATTGGTTGATCTCATTTCTTCAGCAGTATGCTGATGAAACTGGAACAGTTCAAAAAACAAAGTACATTATATAACTATTGGATAGTATTGTTATTGGGATAGGAATGGATTGGATCCCTATTTTTTCCACATTCCAGTTTGTTCACTGGAATATGTTTCAATGGAGCTGGCCCGGACCGGAAGGAGTTGAACAACTCCAAGAAGATCATGCAGGCCATGCGCGAAGATGTGGCCAACTGCAGCTTGGCTTTCCAGCAGATCTGCGTCCACTCCTTAACACTGTGGAAGGAAAGGACAGGAAAGCATGAAGGAGTGGAAGCATGAAGGCTGTTGTTGTTATATTACTGTATGTTACATTGTTATTGCTGTTTTGTTAGTTACTGTCTTTGGGCTTTCTCTTTATTGTTTTTGGGTCTTGGCCTTGGTTTCAGGGTGGTGTTGCTGGAAGGTGGACAGTGAACTCTGAGAGTTCCCTTAAGCACAGTTCCCTTAAGCACTTGGGTTTGTAGCAGTGATTTTGGATTGACCCGACAGTGATTTTCGAAAAGCCGTACATGGGAAGCGTGTTCGGCAGGTGATTCCGGGTGAATGGCTAGGCCCAAACAAGTGGACATGTGATTTGCCTTTGCCAAAGATTTGGAGCTTTTGTCTATCCAATTCGTCCATTGGGAGTCCAAGGCCTGACAGGATGTCATATAGATGGTAAACAGTCGTGTACAGTGTAACACTTGACCGTGGTTTGATAGAGGTGTGATGTCTTTGATTCTAACGGGCTCACAAGCAGTTGGTGATTGATGTCTCTTTTGACTTGGGATTTATATGGATTGATCTTCTCTTTGTTTGAAAAAGGAAACAGCATGTAACACAATGTAACATGTCCAATGTGTTAAAGGAAACAGCATGTAACACAATGTAACATGTCCAATGTGTTGTGTTTTTGCTGTTTTTTCCTGACCTTTCATCCGCATGCCCGGGCAACTCTCCAGCCTTCCGACCAATGAGTCGGCACGATCTCAGGCAAGGGTCTTTGGGAGTTTGAAGTGCAGCGCATCAAGATCACAGAAGGTTTCCTGGTGGTCCGTTGGGGCCAAGTGCCTGGGACAGCATTTGTTTTGAGGGCCAGTGAGGACGGCTGAGTTTTCACCCCGGACATTTGTTTTTGGTGTGCAGGGAGATGCTGTTGGTGAGCTAGAACTGTATGTCAACGGCTTATTGTGAAGCTGTAGCATGCTGTAGCCAGGTGACGAGAGTCCCCGGGACTCAGTAACTAGGCCCTGCAAAGTCAACATGGAACCTGAAAAGCCCCTGGTTTGTGATGTATTGTGGAGGAATTCCGGAAGCTAGTCTTCCAACATCTTTCAAAAGTCCATTTTAAGGTTCCATGTGCATCTCTTCCTGGATGCAGTCTACCTACCTACCTACCTACCTACCTCGGGAAAAAAGGACACTTGACTCATTCATTGATGCGATGGCCGTAACTTGACGACAGATGTGCAGCTGACTCCTGAGCTTGAACTCCTTTTTAGCAGCTCCTAACTAACCACAGGGTCTTGCTCTTACCAGACATAAGAAGGTGATGGACCAACATAGAATCCATGTGAGTCCTTACAACTCTTTGTGAAACACTCAATACATCTCAATACAGTAAACTATAGTAAACTTTAAAGACATTTTGAAACACTTGTCTCCACTTGTCTATAAGTGGCTTTTTGTAACTTGTATATAAATCTTGGGCCAAACCTCTTCCACGACCTCGACCCCAGGTGGTCGCTGGAGACATGGAGGTCGGACGGGTCGTGTGAATATGGAGGTCAGACGGGTCGTGTATGCGTTCACTTTGGCCCAAAGTTTGATTTTCCTAAATGTGGGCTGTTCATGCATAAAACACCTCCCTACCAGAATGTTTTTTTTTTTTTCCATGTCCATACGGGGGCTTCTGTTAGTCAACACGTTTTCCGGGTGCAGATCTCTTAAGAGGAAACGCTTTTCATGAGCAGTGATAGTCGTTGACTCCACACTCATGTGTGTTCAAGCCAGTTGCCGAGGTTCACTTTGGGGATCAACATAAATACAAACAAACCGCACAACACAAACACAGCATTTATGCGATTTATTTACAACATAGTGCGTGTGTTGGTGTGATCAGGGAGGAGCGGGTTTTTGTAGAGAATCTTTTCTCCCACGGAGTCCACCACGGACATGTTTTGTTGACAGACTCTGACTCAATCGACATCTTTTGACTGTAGCGTTTGGGGAGTCGTTTGGGGTTTTCCTTGAGCTTTGTACTTGCGAAGATGATGGTTATTGATGAAGTACCTTGTTTTGCGGATCAGGTGACAAGTTTTGTTCTTTTGCCGGTTCCTGGGTGAAGCCCAGTTTTTTTTGGGAAGATGTAAGATGTTCTATTCTTTCCCGGCATCCTGGAGATCAAATCCACGCTTATTGATGAAGTAGGGGCCCTTGTTTCGTGGCGACTGAAAAGACGTCCGTCCCCCATGGAGAGAATCCTCCGGTCTGCATGCGTCCGCATGAGCAACAGCTGGTTTGTACGAACTCGCTCCACCTGGACAGAATCTTACTTATTTAACGAACCATCTATAGTATATAACAACAATTAAGTACATCATATCACTACTATTATATAACCATCTCATCTCAGTCCTTGAACATTTGCGACCATCTAACTACTCCACTTAATGGCAGACCTGCAGGATGAGATCAAGGCGCTCTTCAAAAAGCTCAAAGAGGTGAAGGTGGACCGCAAGTGCGATGCTTTCGTTGGAGTTCAGGAGGGTCCGACGAGCGGATTCACGCGAGCGCTGATTGCGCTGTTGGGTGTTGCCATGTTGTTGTAAATTCCGAGTGAAAAAGGATGCATCACACATCCCCCAAGCCCTCCAAACTTGCAGACTCAGTTTCTGGACCCATCGATGCTATCATCCTGCTATTGCTTGATCGACTAGGAGCTCACTCAGTTATTGATTTGGGATAGGTATAGATAGATCAAACAGTCAAACTTTAGACTTTAGACATCTATAGACCCCTATTCTCACCATGGCCAGTATGTTGAAACAATTTTCACATATGGTTCACCATTTTTACTGCGCATATGTTAGACCACGCCCGTGTGAGACCGCGATGGTGAAGACTGGCAAGCGTGCGTGAGATGAGAAAATCACAGTGTCGCGCCAATCCGATCGGTCCATCGAGTCGTCTCAGTCCATCGAAGTGGCCGACAACTGGTGGTTCGTGGGTGTGAGTTGATTTGGGGGGTGCCATGATGTGCTCAGCCACCGGTTTCTGACGCACACTTTTGGCTCCAGAGAACTGATTTATTTCGGGTGCCATGATGTGCTCACACCGGTTGGTTTGAGGTGGCCAGAATCTGGAAATTGGACCAGAACGACCCAGACAAAAATCCCACAAACCAATATCCCATCCCATCAATTCCGATCATCCTCCCCCCCGCAGGACGTCGTCAAGAAGTGGACGGTCTTCTGCCCGTTGGTCGGCGAGCTGCGCGATCCGGCCATGCGCCAGCGCCACTGGGCGCAGCTGATGGATCAGCAACTTGGTCGATGGATCAGCTGAAAGTGAGAGAGAGAGAGGTTTTTCACAGCTCTATAGCCCATGTACCACTACAGGGTCCTAGTACAGCTATATGAACCCATCCCATACAACCTCTTTTGATCATGAGAAGACCAGCTGATCATGTGAAGACTGAGAAGAACGTGAGAAGATGAGCTGGACATAGCTTAGCTGGACACCATCTCACACAGGTGCACCATGATGCATCAATTAGTCTAACAGCAGCTAAGTGAGCAGCTTCACTTCATGCAGTTGACGAATTGGGTGTCTTGATCCACGATGTTCCCTCTTTCGTACGCAGGCGTCAGGCGTTCTGTTTGTCCCATCACCACTCACAAATCTTACCCAAGCCTGGCACCTGAACAAGAGCCCTCATTGCAGAGCAGCAGTTGGGGCTGTTATGCAAACGACCATCTCAAATCTCAACATGTCCCACCCAACCGTCCAAAACATTCCAAAACCATCCAAAACCACCCAAGGCTAGAAGCGACCCTAATCAGAATCCCAAAACTCAACCTGGTTTTGCTGAGGGTGATTAGTATTTGCTCTCTTGGGTGAATCCCAATATACACAAAAACATTAATATGCACTTTCTGTTGATCATTGCTTGCTTGCTGGACAGCAAATTCAAGCCAACCAACCTGAGCATGCTCCATCTCACCCTTTCAATCAGGTGCGGCAAGTCGATCACGGTAACCCCAGACACTTGGGTAGTGCAGCGAGCGCCGAAGCGACGGAAGTGGGACGAAAGCAAGGAATAAGGATGACTGTTCGTTCTTCATGTCGGCTCTTGATCATATTTCGATGGCGCCTCTTCAGAGGCTTTGCAATCCTAATCCCAAATGCAACAATTTGAAGGAATTTCTATTGCGAGGTCCTTCCCTCATTCCTTACGTTCGCACCGTCGACCGATGTTCACCGCCCGCGGCTTCTTCGGGCCGCGCGGCCGGTGGAGAACTCCACCCGGCCACAACGGTCAAGCCCAAGGGTTTGCGTTCGCAAACTCTTGGGGTCTTTTCAATGTCAGCATCACCAAAGACCAAACATTTGCTGTCTATCCAGTAACAAACAAAATGACACAGAAATGAACACAAGGCAAAACATGAGGTGTCATGCAGAAATGCGACTGCTTACACGTTCTGTTACTGTTACCGTCATTGTTTCGCAGTCCAGACAGACACAAAAGAAGTGAGCGGATTGCACATGATTGCACATACGCCTCAGGACATTCTGCTGCGGGATATGTGGAACTTGGAGCTGCACAAGAACCCCGACTTCGTGGAGGATACCGCCGACCAGGCCAAGCAAGAAATGAAGATGGAGAACACTCTGAAAAAGTTGCAGAAGGACCGCCATCGACTGCGCTGCAAGATTGGCTTGAAATCAAAAAACACCAAAAATGAACACAGTGGGTTTCCAACCAAAGCCCACCAATTGTGGAAAGTGAGCGCCTGTGCATATCATACTATGAGCCTGGGTGTGGTTGGAATGCGTATTTGGCAGCTTTGGAGAGCAGAAGCTTTATGTAAGCAGCTATGCTCATGACCTGGGTTCAACCAGGGTTGTTTCCCATTGGTGTAGACCTGGGTCGACATCACTCTTGGTGTGTGACCCACCCCTATGCCATTTATATATTATTGCGACTGAGGTCGTGTTGTGTAAGTCATTGTTCATGTGTTGTTGAAAGGGAATCCCATCAACAGGCCTGCGTCCTTGTGTTTCATCCGTTGCCCCCTCGAGCCCCCTTCATTCCCCCCTTGTGTTGTCCCCTCGAGCCCCCTTCATTCCCTCCTTGTGTTTCATCCATTGCCCCCTCGAGCCCGCTTCATTCCCCCCTTGTGTTTCATCCATTGCCCCCTCGAGCCCCCTTCATTCCCCGCTTGTGTTTCTTCCCTTTTTGTGTTTCATCCATTGCCCCCTCAAGCCCCGTTCATTCCCCCCTCCAGCCCCGTTTATTCCCCCTGTTTCATCCTTTGCTCCCTCAAGCCCCATTCATTCTCCCCTTGTGCTTCATCCATTGCCCCCTCGAGCCCCCTTCACTCCCCCCTTGTGTTTCATGCATTGCCCCTCGAGCCCCCTTCATTCCCCCCTTGTGTTTCATCCATT